GGGAACTCTCTATAGCATTAACAAAGCATCATCAAAATAGGATAACCAAACTCTTTCAATAATTAATAAAACTAAATAACACCTATAACATGTAAATGGTATCTCAAATACAAACTTTCTACTGTAGCAAGTGCAATTAAAACCAAGCTTATTATTTCATTTCTACAACCCTAATAGGAAAAAGTATTCCTCTTCGAAATTAATGATTAAAAAAAATTCTAGCAAACACATATTTTTAGCACAAATCAACAAGTAATCCATGAGTACTGCAAAATATGTTACAAAAATATTGCAGAATACGAGAAATACACTACACTTCTTGCAAAATACGAGAAATGTTGCAAAATATATGTATACCAAGAACATATTTTTAGCACAAAATATTGCAAAATATAGGAAATACACTAGACTTATAGTTATACTTCGAGACCGGCTTCGCTGACGGGAAATCAAATCTGAAGCTTTGAGGCCAAGAGTTGCATAGAAGAAGAAATTGGCCTTATTGGGTTTGAAAAGAAGAAAATCAATGTTCTAATTACGGATTTACGGTCTCAGTTCATTGGGCTTCCTTTCGAAAATGAGAAAAATTATCGGAAATGATTTTGTGAAGAAGAAAATCGTAGGTTGAAAAAATGCCGGCATTAATTTTTTAGAAGAAGAGAGTAAAAGTGGTAAGCATTATGGATTAGGGTTTGAGTCATTGGGGTTGGGTTTAGAAATTGAGGTTGAGGTGAGGTTAGTGGTGGCAAATGGGCCAAGTGGCTCGTTGGCTTGGCCGCTCGGCTCGTGGGCGGCTCGGGCTCGTCACGAGCCGAGCGGTAGGTTCACCCAACGAGCCGAGCAAGGCTCGACTTGTTGAGCTCGTGAATGGCTCGTGGGCACTTGAAAAAAGTAAAAAAAAATGAAAATTTTAAAAAAAATAAAAAAGAAAAAAACCACGAGTTCATGGGCTCAGCTCGGCTCGTGAGCTCACGAGCTCGTAGGCCGAGCTTGAACACGAGCCGTGCTCAAACGAGCTCGTGGGTAGATGGGCCGAGCCGGCGGCAATTGCCACCACTAGGTGAGGGGTGGGATAGGGTTGGTATGATGTTTATCTATTTTATTTTTTTACTAACTTTTCATGTAGTCAAATCACCATTGTTTAAAGACATCTAAGGTATTTAGATTTTCTAGAGACATATTTGTCAAAATAATAAAAATGTGATATTTTTGTAAATGATAACCCAAAAAGTGTCAATGGGTGCGATTTCCTCTTGAAATATTTAGACATTGTCTTTTATGCATGTGTTGTCTCTTTAATTTTCTGAATAAAATACAATCAAGAATCTTACATAAAGAACTGTTTTTTATTCTTTAATCCATTATAAGAAGTCATGAAAATTTTGGTCAAAACTCCCTCCTTCTCGAACATAATTCAGAATCTTCGCTTGAAGGTCCAACACCCTTTCTTTGAATCCTTTATCGCCCAAGACTCATTCCAACTTATCCTTAATTTTTTCACGTCTAATGATTCCATTGTCCTTTATTCAATTCAAATCCAATCTATTGGGTTATTTCCTCTTTTGAGGAGGAAAGCCCATATTTGGGATTTTATATTATAGCCCAAAACTCATTAGGTTGTTAACCCTAATGATGAATATAAATACAAAAAGATTGGAAAAAAATAGGAGTCCAACATGTTTTTGAAAAGGATAGAAAAACAATTTTTTTTCGGCGCCCAGATTTCATCAAAGCATAGACCCGAGTCGTCCATGGTCCGATTGAGCTGAAATTTGGAGGAGAGTTTCACAAGACACAGAAATACAATCTGAACAGTGGAGATCGGATTGTGAGTTTGGAACATTAGTTAATTTGTTGGTATTTTTTTTTTATTTCATATTGTTTTGCCAAAATCTTTGTTATCTTGAAGAAATATACGTTGTAGCCTCCAGTTGTGGTTAGAGAAAACTTTGTGTACCCATTATTTGATTGATAGTGGAGGTTTTGACTGGACTGAGTCCCGTGGTTTTTATTCCTCACGTCAGGAAGTTTTTCCATGTAAAATAATTGCTTGTGTTTTTATAGTTTGGTGTGATTGATTTTTTTTAAGAATATTTTCAGCATATAGAACTGTCAGAAAATTCGTTTTACTAATTTTCTTTTGGGAGAAGAATTATTTCGCTGTGTGTTTATTTATTTACATCTCTCCCGACAAGTGGTATTAGAGCCAGATTCTAAGATTTTGGTTTTAAATTATGGAAATGCGTTTTACTAATTTGTTTTTGGAAGAAGAATTATTTCGCTGTGTGTTTATTTGTTTATATCTCTCCCGACAAGTGGTTTCAGAGCCAGATTCTATGATTTGGTTTTAAATTATGGAAATGCGTTTTACTTATTTGCTTTTGGGAGAAGAATTATTTCGCTGTGTGTTTATTTGTTTGCATCTCTCCCAACAAGTGGTATCAGAGCCAAATTCTAAGATTTGGGTTTTAAATTATGGGAATGAATTTGAGTAAAATGACTAACTTAAACGGTTTAAATAATCACATATGGAAAGGAAAAATAGAAGATCTTCTTTATGTGAAAGATTATTACATGTCAATGTTTGTAGCTGAAAAACTGAATAACAAGTCAGATGAAGAATGGAGTTTGTTGCATCAACAAGTTTGTGGGTATATGAGGGCAGTGGGCAGATGAAAATGTTTTGAACCATGTTAATGGGGAGACACATGCTCGTTATATGGAGTAAGCTTAAGCAGTTATATACTAGAAAGACTGGAAATAATAAGATGTTTATGATTAAACAGATGATGGGGTTGAGATACTATGACGGAACTCCTTTAACTGATCATCTGAATACATTCCAATGAATTATTAATCAGTTGGCTGGAATGGGTATTAAGTTTGACGATGAGATTCCTTGGTTGCTTGGTTCATTATCGAACTCATGGGAGATGCTCAGAGCTTCGTTATCTAACTCTGCTCCAGATGGCATCATCACAATGGTCTTTGGCCAATAGTAGTTTGTTAAATGAAGAGATGAGAAGAAAATCACAGGAATATTCTTTACGGTCAGAGGTCTTGGTTACAAAAAAGAGGGGAGGAGTAAGAGCAAAATTTTAATTACACATTTCAGTTATACCACAATTTTTATCAATTTTTCAACTACACATTTCATCAACTTTTATGGTACAGCGGTAAAACATGACGTTTCTCTACGGAGTATCAGAGGTTTGAATTCCCGCGACAATGCAACATTTATGTTGGAAGGCAGATATCCTGCGATGGCAAAGTTATGGTGTGCTTTGTTGTTCTCCAGAGGTCATGTCCGCACATCGTAAAGGGAGGTCCGCAGGAAGGAGAACCGTTTTCCGAATGTCCGTTCCAAGTGTGTATAATTTGTGATCACATGTGGATTTACCATGGTGGTAGGGGGAAAGGTCATCAATCCTCAAGATTGGTCCGACGAAGTTTGGATACCTGAATCACCAAAAAAAATATGAGGATTTCTCGTTGTTTTTCTTTATTTTTTCTTCAAACATTGATAGAATAAGAGGAAATATCGTAGAATAACAAGAGGTTGCTATTTTTTGACGATGTAGCAATCGGAGAGGAAATTTATAAGTGTTCTTTTTGTCTTCACCGTAAAAATAATGGAGGCAAATTAAATATTTTTTACTATATTTAAAAGGAATAACCAAAATGTTGAAAAATGTTCTATTATTGATATCTTGTGTAGGGTGAACCATAAAAACCTATTTAATCTTATGAAACGTGTTTAAATTGCCAACATAGTGCACATCTTCAAACATCAAGAAAAGTATTTTGATGGGATAGAATAAGCCCTATTTTGTTTAAATTTAAATCAAAGTCAACGATTAATTTTAACTATATATTTCATAGGAACTGCAACTTTTATCAAAGCTGTAAATAGAAACATAAAACTCTTGTGTGTTTATGGTTCGCTCCTTAGGTGCAACAACTTTTTTTTTTTTTTTGAAACGCAATATCATTAAAGTCGCAAAAAGCGGATACAAGGAGGAAAACCCTCCGACACATAGCTCTCCTAAGAGAGATTGAGTGCAACCATATCCAAGCAACAACAGACTAAACAAAACAAGATTCAACAACTGACTAAACAATAACAATACAAGACGCAACAACAGACAAAACAATACAAGACCCAACAACAGACTAAACAAAGCAAAGTCAAAAAACAGCTGTGACTTAACAATACAAGAAAAACCCGATTTAAAGCCAACTACGCGTTCAGCACTTGAGCACCCCCGTACAGAAAGTAGCGGACATTGTCTGGAGCCCCATCCGAAACAACGCCGGAGCTGCACAACCAATCAACCACAACAACCAACAATAAAAAACAACACCAAAGGCCGGCTTGAGGCATCCGGGTCTTCTCCCTCTGCCGTCAACAACAGCTCGGAAAACCACAGCTGGCCGAGGACCCAGCTCTCTCACGGAAAACTCAACCACCGCAGTTGTGGTAGGCCGTACGGTGCCAGCCATACCTCGACCGGCACGTCCAAAATCTGCGCGACCACCGGAGAGAAAACCGCCTCACCTCCACCGGACAGACACATCCACACACACAAGACACGACACACACACACAAGACACCAAGACAGAAAAGAGGGGAAGGGAAAAGGGAGGGGGGAGCCGAAGCTCCCTCCCCCGTCGATCGCACAGTAAGGGTTTATGCAGAGAGGGGAAAAGGGGGAAGGGAAAAAAGCTAGGTTTTAGTTTTTGATACCCTCCTTAGGTGCAACAACTTGAACGCGTCTTTAGTGGAAGCATGTTAAACTATTTATTATAGAGTTAAATTTGTAATTTGACTTGCAACAAAAATCTTTTGGACAGGAGTACTTGAAAGTTAAAAGAGATAAATTTACCAAATAATAGAAACATTGAAAAATTCGGGACATTGCTTTTTATGCATATGTTGTCTCCATAATTTTCCGATAAAATACAATCAAGAATCTTACAAAATGAACAATTTTTTTTTATTATTCTTTAATCCATGCTAAGAAATCATGAAGATTTTGGTCAGAACTCCCTCCTTCTCTAACACTGTCCAGAATCTTGGCTTGAAGATCCAACACCCTTTCTTTGAATCCTTTTTCACCCAAGACTCGTTCCAACTTATCCTTAATTTCTTCACGTCTGATGATTCCATTGTCATCTTTATTCAATTCCAATCCAATCTTCAAATAATCACAAATGTAGGTCGTACAACATTGTAGTAACGATGCAGAGATCAAGTCTCATTGCCGCTTAATTATGAAAAATGTGCACATGTCCTGTTTGAAATGAATTCCACATGCACTTGATGGAAGTGATCAATAAAAGTATTAAGTTCTTTAACAACTTAATATTTTAATTTAGGTGGTTTAACGAAACCTGTACGGTACGCATTGTGGACATCTTCGGTTATGTTTTGCTGCACTACCCACAAGAATGGTCTATTGATGAGATCAAGGCCAAGAGCCAGTTCTTGGAACTGATTGTGGTCAAATACTGTGAAACTTCCAAATGCTACATAAATGACAGAGTTTTGTGGTTGTTGATCTAGCCATGCCAGGCAACCTGTTCAACACTTTATACAAATAAATTCAAGTGTCCATTTACAATAATCATGTGTTGCACCTTTCATGAAATAATAAATACAGTATATTTCAAGAATTAGAGTTAAAAGGACAAAATTCAACCAAAAAATTGTCCTACTTTTTGATAAGGTATTTAAACCAACCTGAGTCTTCTCGCCAGAAGTGGCCTGTTGATTTTCCAAGCCGGTTGCTAGCCAGAAGAGGGCCTATGGGTAAAATGTCTGGATATGAGGCAAATGTTTCGGATTCCAACCAATTTGATGAGTTGCAGATCAGCCTATCTGCTGATTTTGTTGGCTTTACACTTTTTACCAGGAATTTGAAGAAGAGTTTTTGTGTCAGTTCATCACTTACACAGGTCCAACTGAAATCCTTTGTTCTCATGACAGGCATCATTGGCGAAAGTTGAATTATCTGTTTTTTCAACGGTTGTCTTGTAAAAAGGTTCAGCATAGCATTAGCACAAGAATATGAAAAGGAAATCATGTGAACTCTACGGTGAAAAGAACAAGAAAGAAAAAAAAATTGATATCAAGGATTTGGCCTATATAACTGATTCACTTTGAGGATGTCTTTGTGAAATATCAGAACAGACGATATGTGGAAAACTTTAAAATCGAAGAGAGAACAAGACCAGTAAAAGATTGTTTTTAACTTCTATAAGAAAAAATTGTTATGTATCTCTCATCTCAAACCACGAGTAAACCCACAAGAAACGTAATAGTCCTTCATCAGTGTCAATATGTATGTTTTGAACTGTACCAACCATCGCTGTCTATGATCCCATCATCAATGATGCTCGGAATATTGAAGAGCAGTGCCATTAATGCTGCAGCGGAAGGCCAGAAAGCTGCTTTCTTGATTCCCATTTTCGCCACAACCTCCAGAGCCCATCCCATGATGCCATCGGCAATTAAACAGCTAATTTTTTCACTTTCCAATCCATTAATCCGCTCAATAAGAGCCTTCAGTTCACGTGGCATGACGTGTAAAATAGATTCCCACAACTTTCCACTGTCACTTCTGTCACTGGAGGAATCTAACCCGTCAGGTAAAGAAACCATTTGTACGAGTTCTCGTACATTTTCTGTCTCCGGCAATGCTTTGATAACTCGCTCATGCATGAACTCTGTGTTGACGAATGTGACCTTGTAACCATGTTTTACTAAATTGAGTGCGAGTTCCATAAGGGGTATCACATGGCCTTGTGCTGGATATGGTATAAGCAAAACATGAGGGTTTCTCATTGTTTTTCTCTTTTTTTTTTTCTCCTTCAAATGTTGATGGCAATCAGAGACAATGTATTAGAAAGTTAAATAGAACTAATTAACAGAAGAAGCAAGACATGTGGGAGGCACAAGTGCAGTACATTTTATGCAATCTGTGTATATATATTTTCCTGTAACTGAATACGTTTTTTCTGCCTTTGCTGTTGCCTTAACAGATGAAAATGTTTTGAACCATGTTAATGGGGAGACACATGCTCGTTATATGGAGTAAGCTTAAGCAGTTATATACTAGAAAGACTGGAAATAATAAGATGTTTATGATTAAACAGATGATGGGGTTGAGATACCAGGATGGAACTCCTTTAACTGATCATCTGAATACATTCCAATGAATTATTAATCAGTTGGCTGGAATGGGTATTAAGTTTGACGATGAGATTCCTTGGTTGCTTGGTTCATTATCGAGCTCATGGGAGATGCTCAGAGCTTCGTTATCTAACTCTGCTCCAGATGGTGTCATCACAATGGTTTTTGGCCAATAGTAGTTTTTTAAATGAAGAGATGAGAAGAAAATCACAGGGGTATTCTTTACGGTCAGAGGTCTTGGTTACAAAAAAGAGGGGAGGAGTAAGAGCAAAATTTTAATTACACATTTCAGTTAGACCACAATTTTTATCAATTTTTCAACTACACATTTCATCAACTTTTATGGTACAGTGGTAAAACATGAGGTTTCTCTACGGAGTATCAGAGGTTTGAATTCCCGCGACAACTGAAATGCAACATTTATGTTGGAAGGCAGAGTTATGGTGTGCTTTGTTGTTCTCCAGAGGTCATGTCCGCACATCTTAAAGGGAGGTCTGCAGGAAGGAGAACCGTTTTCCGAATGTCCGTTCCAAGTGTGTATAATTTGTGATCACATGCGGATTTACCATGGTGGTAGGGGGAAAGGTCATCAATCCTCAAGATTAGTCCAACGAAGTTTGGAAACCTGAATCACCAAAAAAAATATGATGATTTCTCATTGTTTTTCTTTATTTTTTCTTCAAACATTGATAGAATAAGAGGAAATATCGTAGAATAACAAGAGGTTGCTATTCTTTCACGATGTAGCAATCGGAGAGGAAATTTATAAGTGTTCTTTTTGTCTTCACCGTAAAAATAATGGAGGCAAATTAAATATTTTTTACTATATTTACTTCCTTATTGGTTTTACAACTTTTTACAAGATAATAACTATAGAACACATCCCACTTGGTATTTTTGGATAAATTAGAATACTTTGCACAAATTTAACGGTTGTATCACGTGTAGAAGTTTGTAGTTCTTTTCATAAAATGATGGGATAGAATAAGCCCTATTTTGTTTAAATTTAAGTCAAAGTCAACGATTAATTTTAACTATATATTTCATAGGAACGACAACTTTTATAAAAGCTGTAAATAGAAACATAAAACTCTTGTGTGTCTATGGTTCGCACCTTAGGTGCAACAACTTGAACGCGTCTTTAGTGGAAGCATGTTAAACTATTTATTATAGAGTTAAATTTGTAATTTGACTTGCAACAAAAATCTTTTGGACAGAAGAGTACTTGAAAGTTAAAAGAGATAAATTTACCAAATAATAGAAACTTTGAAAAATTCGGGACATTGCTTTTTATGCATATGTTCTCCTTAATTTTCTGATAAAATACAATCAAGAATCTTACAAAATGAACAATTTTTTTTTCCTTTAATACATGCTAAGAAATCATGAAGATTTTGGTCAGAACTCCCTCCTTCTCTAACGCTGTCCAGAATCTTGGCTTGAAGATCCAACACCCTTTCTTTGAATCCTTCTTCACCCAAGACTCGTTCCAACTTATCCTTAATTTCTTCACGTCTGATGATTCCATTGTCATCTTTATTCAATTCCAATCCAATCTTCAAATAATCACAAATGTAGGTCGTATTGAATATTTGATCTGTGAAATAAGGCCAACACAGAAAAGGGACTCCATTGCTTATGCCTTCAATGGTAGAATTCCAACCACAATGGCTAATGAAACAAGCAACAGAAGGATGAGATAGGACCTTCTGTTGTGGCGCCCAACTAACCACATGCCCCCAACCATGCACTCTTTCTTCAAAGCCTGTTGCAAATAGAAGATAAGGTTGTTCAACATCGTAGTATCGATGCGGAGATCAAGTCTCATTGCCGCTTAATTATGAAAAATGTGCACATGTCCTGTTTGAAATGAATTCCACATGCATTTGATGGAAGTGATCAATAAAAGTATTAAGTTCTTTAACAACTTAATATTTTAATTTAGGTGGTTTAACGAAACCTGTAGGGTACGCATTGTGGACATCTTCGGTTATGTTTTGCCGCACTACCCACGAGAATGGTCTATTGATGAGTTCAAGGCCAAGAGCCAGTTCTTGGAACTGATTGTGGTCAAATACTGTGAAACTTCCAAATGCTACATAAATGACAGAGTTTTGTGGTTGTTGATCTAGCCATGCCAGGCAACCTGTCAACACTTTATTCAAATAAATTCAAGTGTCCATTTACAATAATCATGTGTTGCACCTTTCATGAAATAATAAATACAGTATATTTCAAGAATTAGAGTTAAAAATACAAAATTCAACCAAAAAATCGTCCTACTTTTTGATAAGTTATTTAAACCAAACTGAGTCTTCTCGCCAGAGGTGGCCTGTTGATTTTCTGAGCCGGTTGCTAGCCAGAAGAGGCCCTATGGGTAAAATGTCTGGATATGAGGCAAATGTTCCGGATTCCAACCAATTTGATGAGTTGCAGATCAGCCTGTCTGCTGATTTTGTTGGCTTTACACTTTTTACCAGGAATTTGAAGAAGAGTTTTTGTGTCAGTTCATCACTTACACAAGTCCAACTGAAATCCTTTGTTCTCATGACAGGCATCATTGGCGAAAGTTGAATTACCTGAGTTTTCTAGGGTTGTCCTGTAAAAAGGTTCAGCAAAGTATTAGCACAAGAATATGAAAAGGAAATCATGTGAACTCTACGGTGAAAAGAACAAGAAAGAAAAAAAAAATTGATATCAAGGATTGGGCCTATATAACTGATTCACTTTGAGGATGTCTTTGAGAAATATCAGAACAGACGATATGTGGAAAACTTTAAAATCGAAGAATGAACAAGACCAGTAAAAGATTGTTTTTAACTTCTATATGAAAAAATTGTTATGTATCTCTCATCTTAAACCACGAGTAAACCCACAAGAAACATAATAGTCCTTCATCAGTGTCAATATGTATGTTTTGAACTGTACCAACCATCGCTATCTATGATCACATCATCAATGATGCTCGGAATATTGAAGAGCAGTGCCATTAATGCTGCAGCGGAAGGCCAGAAAGCTGCTTTCTTGATTCCCATTTTCGCCGCAACCTCCAGAGCCCATCCCATGATGCCATCGGCAATTAAACAGCTGATTTTTTCACTTTCCAATCCATTAATCCGCTCAATAAGAGCCTTCAGTTCACGTGGCATGACGTGTAAAATAGATTCCCACAACTTTCCACTATCACTTCTGTCACTGGAGGAATCTAACCCGTCAGGTAAAGAAACCATTTGTACGAGTTCTGTTGGGTTTTGATACCCAATAAATCCGGGCTATGATGTTAAATCGGTATTTTAGTTGGATAATATTTCATAGGCCTCGACCGATGATTGAAATAATATGATGACACCACAATTGGACCAATCGAATCGCGTAACCCACTTGGACCATTCGAAGTAGCCTAATTGTATTAGTGTTGCTCATGGCCCGACCCGAACGTTTTGGATGGCTTTCAGGGTTAGCCCACTTACTCTATCTGTTATTGGGCCCTGTTTGTTTGACCTAAAAGCCTAAACCCTAAACCTACTCTTAAACCTATTTAAGTGAGTTCTTAATTACAATTATGGAGTGGGAAATTATTTGGAGCAGCCGTCCCTTTGTGAAGAAGAGAAAAACCGGTTCTTGCCTCTTGCCTTCTCCAATTTGAGCTTTGTGCTTGGTTCTTCTTCTCTACCTAGCCTTTGTGGCTCTTCCTTGGCTGTAATCTTCTCACCTTAGTCCTTAGTGGGCTGTAGAAATCTGTGAGCAACCAGGTTTGGGAAGGTGGTGCCGGTTTGGGATCGATTTGGTTGATTGTGGTGGTCATTTGATTGATTAACTGAGCCCGGTTTGGTGAAATCAAAGGTCAATAATATAACA